ATATATATATATATATATATATATATATATATATATATATATATATATATATATATATACGCTCACTGCTTGCAGTTTGAGCGCTCTGGCATGGTTTTGATGTCCCACAATCGTGAGGCATCAAAGGTAACTGTAAATAGCAGTTACCAGCACTACACTGATGAGGCCCATAAGGCCGAAACGGTACCGTCTGCAGTTATATATATATATATATATATATATATATATATATATATATATATATATATATATATATATATATATATATATATATATATATATATATATATATATATATATATATATAGTTATATATAGTTATATATAGTTATATATAGTTATATATAGTTATATATAGTTATATATAGTTATATATAGTTATATATAGTTATATATAGTTTTTCGTTTCACCTCAAAAATATATGCGTGTATGCTTGTTAACCCTGCAGGCAGTTTCCTAGCGCTTTGTGGCCTTTAATTGATGGTTCCAAATATAAACCCACATATGAAAGTGACTTACAAACAAAATATAACCGCCCCCATACAGGACTCGTTTTAATTGATGCATCATCATTATATAATACTTGAGATCGTCTTTGATATTTATACAGTATATAGCGGACACTACTGACGTTCTAGAAGATTCAAATGCGCAAACAACCAAGCCCTTGCGTAAACAACCGAGCCCGGCACACGTACCGCGTATATGATTATACTTTATGGTTTGACGACATTCCCTAGATGGAAGGAATATGTGACATTCTTGTGGTATAGTTTTGTGTCATATCCTTCGCCAACTTAAATCCTCTACTGTATACTCTACTCTACTCTACTCTACTCTACTCTACTCTACTCTACTCTACTCTACTCTACTCTACTCTGACTACGCATAACACCTCGCCTCGATTAGCTATTGCTTTTTGCGGGTGTTTATATTTGTAAATATTCTTGGTAATTGAATAATAAATCCTTTAACCCCGTTATATATAATCCTTTAATTGTATATAAAAAACACCAAGAATGTCAGGAATCGCATTCATTGAAACATTCATACACACCTAAAGCGGGCTAAAACGTCTGCTTTCACTTTAAACACGACCTTGTCCTTGATGAACGAGACCGAAATATTGTTGTATGAAACTGTATAGTTAACCTCAAACATCCTAATAATTCATATCTTGACAATGAGACTAAAATGTCTTTGTACATGACCGGACATTATTTCACGCACGCGGTTTTTTATGGTCAAATTCGGATGAATATTAATACTTAAATACTTTACCTACGTGTTCGGCTGTTTAAAAGCACAACATACGACATACGTACAAGAGCTCTTTGTCATGAGACTTGCGAGCAGGCTTTCAAAACATATATATAGCCTAACAGTGACTGACAAAGGACACATATATATACTGTCATATAGCGACAAGCTACTGTACCTTGATCGAAATATAACAAAATATCAATGTGCAAGGGTAAAGAGACTGTAGCATTTTTATCCAAACATTTCCTTCCTATTGGAACGCTATTTATCATCCCTCTTGGAATTCTCTTCCCTGCTCCTGCAGTCTACCTTAATGGAAAACTACCTGTAGTCCTGATGTGTATTGTAACATTATTTTTTGTTATTGGAACGAAATTTCATTTGACAGAGATTCAATCTGCTTTACGTTGTTATAAAGAGACTGCCTTGGGAATAATCGTTGTTTTATTGCTCACTCCAGTTGTTGGAACGAAGTTACTGATGTTACCAAAGTTTCGAGAGGTTCCCAGGTCAGGTTTGGATGCAGAAAATGGCACATTGAACAATAGCTGGACAATTGAATTACCAGACTTTGGTCCGGAGGAATTTCGTATTGGTCTACAGATATTTTGTGTTTCTCCATGTGCATCAGCATTTCCTACTGTAGTGGTGAGTAAATTTTCAACTGACCTAGCTGCGTGCTTTGTCTTTTTGAAAAACGTGTCACTCCATTTCAAGCGAAGGCCATGGAAGTAAAAATAGTAGCCTGCAACTGACCTAATTAAATGAATTATTAATATTTATGTCACGCTGGTGATATTGAGCAAATTTTCCCCCAGTACCGCAGGATCGCATTTTCAGTGAACTTGCATGCGGTGAAAAATTGAAACCTTTTTATTTTGCACAGAACTGGTCACTGTCTGTAAGATGTCCGCTGACAATACAAGCCTGCACGAATAGGAGAATTTTTGCTAAATTTGGCCAACGTGTATTGTGACGAAAAACTTCGCTCGATGATAATCTTTTTTTCAGGTAGTTTAGGCATATTTAAAAAATCCATACAATTTGCTTTAAAATGCAATGCTTTGACATGCAATGCTTCAATGTACAGTAAACCTCTATAATTTGTTTTACATGAAGTACGTGCAACATCACAATAGCGTCACAGAGGTAGCCCGCGTGCAGGCCCAAGGGAACTGATAGTGGGCCGGCCGGTATTTTGTACTTTCCGCGTTCGCTCACGAACGCGGCATTCTGATTGGCTGTTTGCTGTTGGATTCTATAATTAGGTCAGTGATTCATCACAAAGGCTCTCGATAAGCTCAAAATTCGAAAATTGATCACTTTTTTCGATTATAAATGGAACAAGAACAGACTGTTTATTGTTTGCTTGAAGGAAGAGATGTTCTTGCCGTTATGCCAATGGGGATTGCTTGTCGTGAGGTGTTGGAATAGCAACATTACGACTGGGGTAAACTATAGTAACCTTTACTTGAGTTTCATTAATTTCAAACAGACTTGATACATTATACGTTCCTCAAGAAATTTATCTTTTGGTTGATGTTGAGATGCAGTTGCATGTAAGCCTATTCGAAACACTTTGCGATATACAAGGCTTCGCTGAGAGAGCGAAACAGAAGACGGTATTATATTGCCGTTTGAAACGAAACGATCTGGACTCTGAACACTCTCTTCTTTTGTAGAGTTCTTTACCAAATGAAATAACTGAAATAAATTTCGTACTTTCCGCCGCCAACAAGAATTGCACACACGATCTGAAGTGAGACAATTTATTTATAACAATGCCAATGGCGACAGCGAAGCACACATAATATAAATGCTAATGTGTCGCACGACTTCCCTCACGATTTGAAGTCTGAGTCTGGTTTTCTGTTGAAATCCGTCCTAATTTGCCTGTTCCGATTTTAGTTGAAAGTGAATACTTGCAAATTTGGCAATTACCGACTGCTTTGCTTTAAAGAGAGTTAAAACGCTGCCATTTACACATTGTTTATGTTCTGAATAAGCAGAGAAAACCCCGCAACATTTTAATGCGAGTTTGTTTGTTAATATTTGGGTGCTGTCATTGGTTCTTTTTTGACAATTGACGCGCGAATGGGACGTGTTATGAAAATGGGCGTTTTACAAAATACCGGGCCCTGCTTGCAGGCCCACTATCACTTCCCTTAGGCCTGCACGCGGGCTATCACAGAGGAAGTATATATCTTTACTTTTTGATAGCGTTGTGTCATTATGTAATATATATCCCCAAGGTTGGCAACTAAATACAAATTTAAAACTGTATGCACAAACTTAATGACGAAAAAAACTCGTACATAAACATCGAAATTCATTAAAAAAACTAACTCACTATGGTAACAAATAACTTTAGTACATCTACATTGTGTTTTTTCTTCTATCATCACTTTTAAACGAGTTAATTTTGCGAAAATTCCGAGGAAAATTCATCAAATTCGTAACTCAATTTGATCAAAACTATGCGGGATGATGGCTGCCGGCGTTACGTCACAAAATAAAGCTCTCTGATTCGCTGGGAAATTTCAGCCAGCCTTTTCTCGGAATTTTCGCAATATTCACTCGTTTAATCGTTTAAAAGTGATGAGAGAAGAAAAAACACAATGTAGAAGTACTAAAGTTATTTCTTACCATAGTGAGTTAGTTTTTTTAATGAATTTCGATGTTTATGTACGAGTTTTTTCGTCATTAATTTTGTGTATACAGTTTTAAATTTGTATTTAGTTGCCAACCTTGGGGATAAATATTATTACATAATGACACAACGCTATTGTGATGTTGCGCGTACTTTATGTAATACAAATTATAGAGGTTTACTGTACATTGAAGCATTACATGTCAAAGCATTGCATTTTAAAGCAAATTGTATGGATTTTTGAAATAAAATACCTTTTCGGGAGACCTATCAGTTTAGGTGCTATTTAAAATATGAGCAGATACAAGGCGAAGCCGAGTATCTTTAGGTCTATAAAACACGCACTGCGAATGTTTTATATTGCTTCAAAAACGATCGATTTAATAAGTTCATTAGCGAAATAATTTTCAAAAAATACGTTGTGTAAGTCGAGAAAATCAAAGTTAAAGTTGTGTAAATCAAGGGAAATCTCTATTTTTAAAAATTTCTAAAATTTCTAAAATTTTATCATGGCTTGAAAGAGCATCACAAAATTAGTAATATTCCAAAGTTTCGTTGCGAAATGTTGTAAAATGTGGATAATATAGCCCTGCGAAATTTGCCGTTTTTCAGTCATTTTGTATTACGCACGGGAAATTGATACCTTTTGTCAGAAAGCGGCATGGCCCCAAATTTCTCTCAACACAAAGTACTGTTTGCTTGTGCATACAACGAAGATATTAGATAGCTTAAGATTTACGACGTCGACGTCAGCTAGGACGTCAGGGCTAAGCAGAAGACTGGGACTAGGACGTCGTCCAAAGAAAGTCGATAGCTCAAGTATCTACGAATGTCAAATATTTAGGGCGGCAAGCGGAAGTAAATTCGTAATAATTTTTGAAGTGTGCATGTGTCTCTCTCAATTTGCTGGTCATCCACCAAACGTCGACAACCTCACAACAAGAGTTTTACCGTCGTGGATACAAGAGCATAACAAACGGTAATGGTTTCACACGCTTCTTTTAAATTTATTTTCAAAAGAATGTAAATATTTATAGTTTAAATGTCTGCGTCGTGAATCTTAAGTGAAACTTTATTTATTTATTTATTGAGGTAAAAGAATTTTATTTCTCAGTTTAAGACAACATTCTGGCAATTATTCAACAATTATTTGACGAGTCGAATAAATATATACAGCCAATTCAAAAAAGGTTGTCCTTTGCAAACCTTAAACTCTGGATATTTCGCAAATCACAAGCAAACACAATAAAAAAATCTACATCATTCCAAATATTGGTAATTTTACTATATTCTCCCAATGAAAGTTTTAACTTCAAAAGTTCATTCTAAGGTTCGGTTAAAAAAGAGAATTCTTTTCGGGTTTTTTAATAAGCATCCTTTTTTCGAAGCTTTATTAAAAGGTGGCTCCCTACAGTTGTAAAGAAACAGCAGCGAAAAATAAGGTCTTCACAATGACGCAAAGTATTAATTTGCTATTGTATATGTGAAATGCGTCAAAACCATATGCTGGGGTCATCTACCCTGTGGTGATGTCTTGAAGAAGCAGTGATTGGCTGTTGTACTGGAATCATGCACAATAGCCAATCAGCGCTTCTTCAAGATTTAAAAACTATGACAGGAGGTCAAGACCCGTGTGTTTATATATAGCATGCATGATTAACTGATATAGTTTGGCTTCAAGTAGCTAGCGTTCCAGTTATATTCATTTCAATGCTTGGAACCGCCTGACGCAGAACTTTCGAAATACGTGTGGTGAGATTATAGGAAAGGAAAGGGAATACAATATAAAGTGGTGGTCCATGTCAAACGTCAGAAGTTTGAACAACTATACGACGTACCAGAATGCTCAGAGAAATAAAATTTATAGTCGCCTCAAGGTGGCTCCCTAAAGTTGTTTAAGCATGGGACTGGTAACGAAATGACGTGAGTTGTCGAGTTGAAATTTTATCACGTCAGCAAAAATTTCATTTGACCACGCAATGTTTGTAATGCAATAACCATTTTTTCCTTCGGTTAATTTTTTTGAAATTTTGTATTTTAAAAGTACTAGTAATTTATTGCAATATACTCAATTTTTAAAACATTCTATAAAACAGTTTTTGTGGAACAAATTTCACGTAATATCTCAAAAACTGAATTAATAACTTCGCATAAATAGCAAATATTTTGCGTCATTGTGAAGACCTTATTTTTCGCTGCTCTTTCTTTACAACTGTAGGGAGCCACCTTAAACTGAACTTCGAAAAAAGGATGATTATTAAAAAAATTATCAAGACATATTATTCTGGTGAATGATAAAGAGAGGAATGTACAGGACACTATACACTTGATACTTCACATCTGTATCCTAACAAGTGACCTTACTTGCTTCTGTAGCAGTCTGTGAGCATGCCTGTCCAATTTCTAATGATGTGCTCTTTTTGTAGGTAACAGCAGCCAATGGTAATCGAGCATTGGCATTATTGATTGCAGTAATAGCGACCATTATATCAGTCTTTACTGTTCCAGTTATGACTACATGGTTGATACCAGCATTTCAGACTGCTAGTGTTAGTAGCCTAACCATATTAACTAGAGTCATTCTTTTCATTCTTTTACCTTTGATTGTAAGTATCTGTTTGCGTAGTAATAATACTAATAATAATAATAATAATAGTAATAAATAGAGATTACTGCATGGTACGATTTTTACGCACGATCGAGTTGTAAAAGATTGCAAACGAACGAGTGAGCGAAGCGAACGAGTGAGTTCAGCAATCTTTCACAACAAGTGTATAAAGAAAATTGTACAACTGAAGCGAACCAACCATGCAGTAATTTGTTTATAATATACGTCTAGAGACGAATATTTAAAACTCATGAAAGGCTCACAGCGAGCAACACGGTAGCGAAATATTCGTTAGTCTTAAAAGTTTAGTGTAAAGTTTAGTCTTAAAAGTTTAGTCTTAAAAGTTTACTGTAAAGTTTATTTTTTCATTATTTTGCTTGCTCTTCTCATTTCATTTTTGCTTCTGTTTTGTTGCAAAATTGTCGAGAGTTTTTTATTAAAATAAACAAAATATATTTTCGCGCCACGCCAAAAGCGCGGGCGCCATGTTTATAGTAAACAGGGTTCGTACAAAACTTGAAAGTCCTTGAATGTCCTTGAATTTGAAAACAACAAATCAAGGCCTTGAATGTCCTTGAATTTGTAAAGAAGTACTTGAATGTCCTTGAATTCTTCTTGCTTTAGTTTTTGGATATTTTCTGAAATTGTTTGACATTCGAGACGGACATTTTGTTGAACTGATTTTGCATGTTCATATCTGACCTCAGATTTTGCTGATTTCTAACGCCTTCTTCTTCAGTATTTAGTCCTTGAATTTGCTGACACTGCACGGCCTTGAATGTCCTTGAAAAGTCCTTAAATTTGACTCTTCCTGACATGTATACGAACCCCGAATAAAATTTGAGAGCAAAATGCCTATGCGATATTTTCTCACTAGTGGCTAAATCCGTATAGCCAACCAAAATGCAATATCATCATTTCTCACTGCTGGCAAAAACCGTATGACCAATCAAAATGAAATACGACATATATTTTACCCGTCTACTGTACGTAAATCTCTATACGTATTTTTTAAATCACGGTATATGACATATGAAGTTTAATCAGCCATGCTCTTGCCTCGGCACGTACTACGTTGATGTTTTAAGTTTGGTACTAAAAGCGAATTAAATTGAAAAATAAATTAGTTCCTGGATACTTGTTAAAGTTCATCAACAAGAGAAGGTGTCAGTAAATTTCACCCAAACTTGAGCAGCAGCAATTTTTTGAAATTCAGGCTCTTGTTCATTTAACTAAATTTCCAGTAGTTTATCTACGCCTAAATTCAGTTTGTGCTACTTCGTTTTATAATCTTAAAAACTGTACAATTTTTCTTCAGGTTGGGCGACTTTTAAGATTCATCGGATTGGTAAAAAAGGTTGTTACCAAAGTCGATACATCTCTGAAGTTCGTTACTTCTGGGGCTCTCCTTGTTATGTTTTGGGTGAAAATTAGTCAAGCAACAGCGAAAGGAGACCTTCAAAAATTTTCACCTTGGATGATTGTGGCTGTAACCGCTCTTGGTACAGCTGTGATTACGTCATTTCTTGTTTTTACCTTCATATTTGCTTCTCTACTACGGCTACAAAAGAAAGCAATCCTTGCTGTTACAGTGCTTTCATCGGCAAGAAATTCAAGTATAGCTATTACTGTTATTGAGAATTTACCAGACAGTGTTGGGGACAAAGATCTAATGTTTATCCCTATAATATTTGTCTATTTGGCTATGGTCGTTATTATCAATAGTTTTGGTTGTTTTATGACAATCAAGAAAGAGGAATATGACATTGAACAAGATATGGACACCCTTGAAGACAAAGTTGATAGTGCGGACAAACTTACTTTAGTTATTAATCCCTTGGATCAAATACATGATATACCAAATACAAATGACTGCGTTACGTTGCCAATAGTACAGTGGTGTACGGCTGTATGAGGTTACTCCAAGGTTCCAGCACTATCCCCATGCTTTCAAAGCTCCCACACTCTCACCATGCTCTCAAAGCTCCCACACCATCACTATGCTCCAAGGCTTCCACACCATCACCATGATCCAAGGCTCTCACACCATCACGATGCTCCAAGGCTCCCACGCCATCGCCATACTCCAAGGATCGCACACCATGCTCCAAGGCTCCCACGCCATCACCATGATCCAAGGCTCCCACACCATCACCATGCTCCAAGGCTCCCACACCATCACCATGCTCCAAGGCTCCCACACCATCGCCATGCTCCAAGGCTCCCACGCCATCACCATGATCCAAGGCTCCCACACCATCGCCATGCTCCAAGGTTCCCACACCATTACCATGCTCCAAGGATCGCACACCATCCCCATGCTCCAAGGGATCCCACACCATCACCATGCTCCAAGGCTCCCACACCATCACCATGCTCCAAGGTTCCCACGCCATCACCATGCTCCAAGGATCCCACACCATCACCATACTCCAAGGATCCCACACCATCACCATGCTCCAAGGATCCCACACCATCACCATGCTCCAAGGCTCCCACACCATCACCATGCTCCAAGGATCCCACACCATCACCATGCTCCAAGGCTCCCACACCATCACCATGCTCCAAGGATCCCACACCATCACCATGCTCCAAGGCTCCCACACCATCACCATGCTCCAAGGATCCCACACCATCACCATGCTCCAAGGTTCCCACGCCATCACCATGCTCCAAGGATCCCACACCATCACCATACTCCAAGGATCCCACACCATCACCATGCTCCAAGGATCCCACACCATCACCATGCTCCAAGGATCCCACACCATCACCATGCTCCAAGGATCCCACACCATCACCATGCTCCAAGGATCCCACACCATCACCATACTCCAAGGATCCCACACCATCCCCGTGCTTTAATGCTGCTACCCAGCACCGTGTGACAACGTTAATGATATGGAAGACTTTACAACTTTACACTAGATTGTGAATACTTGTCAAGATTGATATCGAACAACACTGTGTATGTGTACATCATTGCAGCTCATTATTGCCTTCTTTATTTCTCGTAGAAACTTTGGAATTTAGTTTTTTACTGATAAATTTGTTAATTTATGATAAATTTTAAAACAAAATATAAAATGACCTTGTAGTGGTGTCTTGTGTTGGTTTATTCTGTGATTAATATGTTAATTGTTGTTTTGTGGCCTCACTATAGTGCGTATCTATTTTCGGCGGGCAAAGCTTTCGATCTGTAAGCCCTCATGCTCATCTTCACATTTTAAATTATCTGATGGGTTTTGTAGATAAAAATTAGTCCATAATTTCCGTCTACAAAACCCATCAACTATTATCCAATCGAGTGAGACGTGAACAAAATCTTGATATTAAATTATTTACACTACTATACGTGCTGATGCCAAAGATCCAAGCATGCGGATCGAAAGTTTGACGAAATAAGTCAAATTACACAAAAAAATATTTAATATCTGTGCATGGGGACAGTTGTAGCTAAATATTGCTTTAATGTCCTAAGACATCAATCGCTTGTAAATGGTATTCTAATTATTTTTAATAAGACACAGTAAACCCGCGTAAAAACCATTCAGTGGATTAAGAACCACCTGCTTGAAATTTAGGCAATTGATCTTTCCCCATAACTTATAGCAATGCCTGCTACGCATGACAGCAAGACGCTCCTTCAAACCAAATAGCTGCTGTTGGAATGAATGATTTTGGTATATAAAATGGGCGTTTGAATTGAACGTCACATATGATTAGCACTGATCACTATCTATGCACTGATGAACATCCGGGCTTACAGATTGAAAGCTTCGCAGTAATAAATTTAGGTTGTATTTCCACAAACAAAAGTGTTATATGTTTTATCGCCATGCAATCCTACAAAGAATTTATGAATGATTTTATTTTGAATATTATAAAATGCCAGATTTTAACACCTGTTTGTATCCATCCATAACTTTTATCTACCGGAAAACAACCAAACGACTTAATTAATTGTAACCACATTCGGTATGATTTCATGAAGTTCTGTGCACCAAATGTTCTAATAATTATTTAGGCCGTATGCTGTGACCTCGAAAAGTGCCTAGAAAGCGATTTTTATTTCACCTGTCTTGGAACTGAAATATTTTACGGGAACTAACACTTTCGAACACGCTGAGTTTAAATCCGACTGAAAGTTCCCGCTCTATAGACCTGCATGCAGTTTTCTCACAAACTGCAATTTTATGTTACTAATTTCACGACAACTTTTTTCATTGTTCAACGACACGGATCGATGACGACAAACGATTATGTCACTAAAAAAGACCAATTTCTATTAACCAGTCTTCCTTTTAACAAAAGACCGGTTTTGCTCGAATCATTTTGAGTTATGTTATATTATGTGTGTTGGACGTAAACAACATATCTTGTCTACAACTTTGGGAAGGTACAAATAAAGCTTTCTGAAACCCTCAGTTCTGGCTCCATCTCAATAAAATTACAAGGACGTTAATGCTAAGTCTTTTGGCTATGTCTCTGTGCCGGGAGAAATAATTCCTTACATGCGATCAAAATGTTTTATACAACGATGTAAAACGGTAATGTCATGTAATGGATCAGCATTTAAATTTCCAACACAGTTTTTGACGTAATTCAAGAGCCAAGAGGTAACTTATCATTGCATTTGAACTATTATAGCAGTTGGTGTTATTCTGTGCGATTAGCATAAGTATTATTGGAAAGAGGGCTTTCATATTCGTTGTAATCACCAAATAAACAGCTCATGCACACATTTCCGTCCACTTCGTCGCACGTTTACAGGGCAATTTTTGGCTTTGGCACTGATATTTGTCTTTGATGTGAACATTTATTCTTCTAGTTTAAGATTATTTAAGAGTGATCCTGTCGTAAGTCTTCTGCCAGCAACCCATCGACAATATTTCATTTTAGTGTTGTCTTTGCCGTTTCGGATAGGCTTTGCGTTACTTTTGTTTTAAATACCATGATCGCGTTAAAAGAGTTGTTTCTCAGCCCAGAGACATAGCCAAAATACTTAGCATTAACGTCCTTGTGATTTTATTGAGATAGAGCCAGAACTGAGGTCAAGGTAAAACGCGGATGCGGACGAATAGACGGCAGACGGACGGACGGACAGATGAGAGGGTAAAATGCGGACGGACGGATGAAAGGGTAAAATGCGAACGGACGAAAGCGTAAAATGCGGACGGATGGATGAGGGTCTTCCCGAAATGCAACGCGGGCCTCAATGCGGCTTATTCTCAACGCGCCGTTCGATTAAAAACTGTTGAAATATATTGCGATTTTTGCTGTGAAGATCTCGTTTTCTCAAAGATACGTTTTAATAACTTTTAATTTTATAATAATTTTGAATATATATATCGACCTTTGAAGTAAAATTACCTTTCTTTCGCTGTTTATTAATGCCAACCTGGCCACGGGCCGTTAACCCTTCCGGATCAATGTCGGCCATCACGTCATACACAGCATCATGAGAAACAAGTAAGTTGTGCCCCTGTCTTATTTTTTTTACCTTCGAATTCCTTTTGTATCGCTTCTCTCACATCATCAACTAGTAACGTAAACGCCTGTCTAATGTGCGTATGCTCCATTCATAGCTCGAAAAATGTCGCCCTACAAAATTCAAAATTTATTTTCTGGTCATTCCTTGACATACATATTTCTCTTAGTCTAAGTCTGTTTTGAGTTGAATATCTTCTTTCCAACTATCGCGATCCGCCATATTTGTGAATGGGACGCGTTTTCATTCGATGGCCTGAGAACTAGGTGGCAGCGATCGGCCAAGTGGCAGTCTTCGGTCACACTCAGTTGTTTCTTAATTTAAATGGATTTATTTAAATAAAAACCAAAAAAATAAATTAATGAAGAAAAAAATTTACAAAATATTTGAGAAATTTCAACTGGCAGCTCTCGGCCACCATAATATCGCATTTTATTTATGTTAAATTCCCATTGTATTTATATGCATGTTTCAGGTCAGTGCATGCATGAACATGACCTTCATTGAAATATTCATGAGTAAATTATATTTTTTTACAAGGAAACTACACCACTGGGCGAAGGAAAGTGAAACTGGACTATAAAGTGCCCTGTTTTTCTACTTTTAATATATTAATACCTTAAATCATTTTTTATCTTTTCATCTTTGTCAAAAACTGCTTACAGAAATTAAACTGAATCCTGTGTTTTTAAATGTTCAAAATATATTGAAAACAACTTAATTTCATTGTTGATTTAAACAATAAGTCTAGTATGAATAATCAATCAATAGGTATTTTTTTTTGTGCTGGTGTTGTGTACTCAGGTGAATAATATGTTTGTGATGTTACTCTGAGTGCATATCCACACCGGGCGAGCTTGAAAAATATGCCCGGCCACGGTGGGATTCGAACCTACGACCTTTGGAATACTAGCCCAATTGAAAAATATGCACCGTGGCCGGGCATATTTTTCAAGCTCGCCCGGTGTGGATATGCACTCAGAGTAACATCACAAACATATTATTCACCTGAGTACACAACACCAGCACAGAAAAAATTCATATTACAAGAACACATTGGTATTGAAGGAACTAGATACTGTTCCGAAATATCACTTACTCGAACCGTCCTGACCGCGTAGCTCAGTTGGAAGAGCATTGGGCTAGTATTCCAAAGGTCGTAGGTTCGAATCCCACCGTGGCCGGGCATATTTTTCAAGCTCGCCCGGTGTGGATATGCACTCAGAGTAACATCACAAACATACAATCAATAGGTGTTATATTTAACTCTAATACATTCTTGCCTTAATCTCTGCGATTATTGTATTATTAATTATATATCCTTATCTGCAATATTGTGTCACCGTGTGGAGATCAACGACCGGCTTCCAACCTTAAGCGCATAATTTTGTTACAAAAGCGTGTGGTGTATTAATAAGGATGCATATGATGCACATACTGGCCCAATATATTTAATGAATCGTGTATTTTAAATTTAATGACATATATTTGCTAACTTTAGGCACGTTTATGTACTCTTACCAAAATGGTTTACTTTCCAGTAGTTTTAATGATTACTTTATTGAAGTCAATCGGTGCATCATTATAACACGCGCAGTTCTAGCAATACTTCTACCAAACAAACAAGTCCATAAGACCATAACTGTAACACTAGAAACGTCGACTCGTATCAATCTCATGTATTTAGAACTAATATGAAACAATTCACAATAAAACTGTGGAATTCCCTCCCTGATACCGTTAGAAAGGCAGAGGCATTAAGTTTCTTCAGGAATATATGTTGGTGGCGAATTAAATTATTATTATTATTAATATTTATTTTCCATTTTGTAAACTAATATCCGACAGTTCTCCGTGAGAGTTCAGGCTCCAAAATTTTTCAATATGTTAAATTCAAATGTGAGGAATGCTAATTATTCTCTTCAATCATTTCAAAACAAACTTAATTAAAAAAATATTTAATGTCAAAGTATTCGTAAATGTTAATTAAGAACTGGCAATTACTTTTATTAGTTTAGTTTGGAGTATAGCATTGTGTATAAGTTCGTATATTTTTGTTATTTCTTTTTTCGTTATCTGCATTTTTGGTATTTAAAGTTAGCGATTGTTAGGGATCACTAGGTTTTTTCAATGTTATATATATATATATATATATATATATATATATATATATATATATATATATATATATATATATATATATATATATATGCTGTTGAGGCGATCAGTAGAATACATGATAACTTTTCTAAGGTTTGTAGCTGATCTGGTTAAAAACATTTTATTTAAAATAAAAACTAGTAAAATTAAAACTAAATTTTCGGCTGCGAACTGCAAGCCTTCATCAGAGTATATGGCAAGAGTCATTACACCTCTATTTATAATGTTTATCGTTCCGCTTTATTTCATCTGCTAATATAGAATAACAAGCCGGAAATTCAGTATGTTCATTAGCCGTGTTTTCACTAAGAGTGGAATGTAAAGCCTCTAAGAAAATCCTTTGTTCGTAGTTCTTAACTCCCTTTTCTAATATTACAGCGTCTGATTTTGCAGCGTTGTGACCAGTGCATTCAGCGTGTTCCTTTATTGTCGAAAAAATTCTCTTTCTAACTCCCGGTTTGTGTTCTAACCACCTTGTCGCCCAACATCTCTTTGATTCACCGATATATGTAAATGGTAGTATTTAGATGATTGTGAAATATTGAAATGTCCGATTGTTTTACACAGGCGTTGCTATCATCTACATATCTTTTCCACCATCGCACCCAAACGGGAGATGTTTGCAGGGCAGTTGTTTCTATTCTTTGCATAACTAATTCTGCAATTACCGCACTCACTGGCGAACCCATGGGACATCCAAATATTTGCTGATAATAACAATCTTCATACATGAAATAACTGTTGTTCAAAACAAATTTTAGCAAGCCATAGATATAATCTGCAGATAATCCAGTATGCTGTGTCCAAGTCGTTGTATTGTTTAGCTCTTCCTTAACAATCTGGAGTGCCAAATCAACGGGGATAGATGTAAATAAAGATGTTACGTCGAATGAGACGATACGCTCATTAGGTTCAATTTTTTGATTGAAAATAAAACTGGCAAATTCTTTAGAGTTCCTAACTGTGTAAACATCATTGTACAAGTATTTTAGAATGCGCCCCAAATATTTGGAGATTTCATACGTTGGAGACCCAATTGAACTATTTATTGGTCTAAGAGGAACTACCGTGTCTGCTTCTATTGTAAAATGATCATTTTGCTCGACTAAAGGAACCTTGTGTATCTTTGGCAAACCGTAAAACGCCGCCGGGTAGGAATCAAATGGTCTCAGTCTTTTGTACTCATTATCTGTTAAAAAACCAGTGTCTTTTAATAAACGTTCTTGTAACTCTGTGTCGGTTTTTGAAGTTGGATTACGTCTTTTATCTGTTATGCGTTTGTACACAATCTCATCCTGTAACATTGTTTCTACTTGGTTTTTATAATCTACTTGATTCATAACTACCATGGCATTACCTTTGTCGGCTTTTGTAACTAAGATATTTTTGTCACTGCGTAGATCTTTCAGGGCTATCTCTTCTTGACGTGAAAGGTTTGAGTTGCTTGGGTGCCTAGCGTTCTTTATAACAGAGCAAACATTTTCTCGAACTCTATTTTTCTTATCGGCATCTAAATTTTTAATTCCTTGTTCCACTGAAGCAACTATGTTTTTTATAGGTATTCTCTTGGGAGTAATAGCAAAGTTCATTCCTTTTCTAAGTAGGGTGATTAATGCCCGATCAGAATTATTTATAACCCAACGTTTCTGCGCTTGTTCATGTTTTTTATCTTTACGTTGAACTTTAGTAAACTTTCTTTCATGTCTCTTTGATATCTTGTTTTTTTCATACATGCATCGATTAGAGATGGTGGTTTTTAACATACCTAGTGTATTTTCGTCGAGGATCTTCTTGATTTTTTCGTTCAGCTCGGTTGATTCAACATTGATATTACGTAAGTTATTATGGCAATTTCCTATCAATACGCGTAGATAGGCCCAACCAGCTTTTTCGGTGATTTTCCACGCTTTCGGATGATCAATAGGGGGTCTTGACTGCAGGAAAGACGGTAACGACTTCGCATCTTTACATTGGTGTAAATAGGATAGATGTAATTTATATCGAACTTCGGTTAAAGCGAATCGTTCTAATCTTCTTGCCATACCTAGTGCATCAGCACCATTGTTGTTCTTGATAGAAAGGTATATACTCTGATGAAGGCTTGCAGCTCGCAGCCGAAAATTTAGTTTTAATTTTACTAGTTTTTATTTTAAATAAAATGTTTTTAACCAGATCAGCTACAAACCTTAGAAAAGTTATCATATATATATATATATATATAATATATATATATATATTATATATAGTGGGTGTGTTTGTCAACAATCAAGTGTATAAACATTTCAGACGTATATATAGAGTGGCGGCTTTAGACCTAATAAAACACGACCTGCGAGTTTATTAAACGGCTTCAAACACGACTATACAAATTCAATAGATATACCGCCTTATTAGTATTCTTTATATAAAAAATACTAATGAGGACACGACAACAATAGATACCGGCTTATTAGTATTCTTTATATAAAGAATACTAATTAGGAATGTTTTATCAGGTTTAAAGCCACTGCACGTGACATGTTATAGTTTACATGATTTGCCAATAAGCTTATGAATTATTAATGAGTGTTTGAAATATATATATATATATATATATATATATATATATATATATATATATATATATATATATATATATATATATATAGTTTTTCGTTTTACCTCAAAAAACCGCAGCAGTCTGTTTCATCCGTATAGGATTCCATGATTCCTATACGGATGAAACAGACTGTTGTGGTTTTTTGAGGTAAAACGAAAAACTATATTACACTCTATCTATATGGTATTGAGCACTGTTTGTGTTTCGTAAACCAAAATCTTAAGATATATATATATATATATATATATATAAATATATATATATATATATATATATATATATATATATATATATATATATATATATATATATATATATATATACCAAATATGTATTTAGAATCATATATGAGTAGAGTGCTCGATATACCGAAGTATAGAGCTAATATAGATAAAGATAAAATAAACCTGGTTTACTTCATAAGATTTATTCTTATGAAGTAAACCAGGTTTATTTTATCTTTATCTATATATATATATATATATATATATATATATATATATATAATAGCATAGATATCTTATATACACTAGATAGTGCATCTCTTTTAGTAAAATTGAAGCCAAGAATATTCCAGCGGTTACCCCCATTTGAATAGATGGCGGCCATGTTGGTCGTTCCCACTTGCTAACAAACGCTTAAAAACAGCAATAACTTTCATCATTTGAATAGTTTAAAAATGTATTTGGAATAGGGTTAACTTAATGTTTAAGTTCCCTGTTTAAGAAATAGAAAACATACCAGTCTTCTCATTTCATGGGAACGACCTGAGACTGCAATCACGGCTTCAATTTTTGAATTGCAGAATAATTAAATGCACTATCTAGTGTATATAAGATATCTATGTATAATAGAGTATGACTGTCTATAAACAACAAGCAGTGTTATTTTTAAGCTACAGTTCCTACACTGCGTGGAAATAAACGTAATCTTGATTGATTGATTCTTTAATTTTCTGTAGAGGTTTTGTTTTGCTCAAAAATACAGCTTCAATGATGAAGAATGACTGTAACAGTTTATTCATATTCAATTTATCTCGTTTTTAGTGTGAAGTTTCTTCGAAACTTCACAGTATTGTGATGACTGGGGGAAATTCAAACTTATCAGTCAGTCATACAGTAAACTTTCCGGGGGGTGTATACGATTTATGTTCGTAGTGATTCAGTTAACTTATTTACATATTCTGTTATCCTTTTGCCAAGTTCACAAAAATTTCGAGGAATTGCTTTTGTTATTGTAATTTTTTGTAAATTTTAGAACATTCGCTTCTCATGTTGTGTAAAGGATCTTTACCCCGGAACACCCGATTTTTCTTTAATAGGGCAAATGCGCATGCGCTATCAAGCAGTAGATCACGATGGCGTGACGATATGCTAGGAAGGAGTGACAGTGTTGTTTTCAGATGTATAAACATTTCAAACGTGAATATTGAGTAAATTTTTGAAAATCTACGCAATATATAAATTGATCTTATGCATTACGGGCGTTCAATGGACAACTTGCATGTTAGACTTAATTTTAATCTAAGCAGAGAAAAGGGGATCAAACACAACAGCTAAAAAGAACATACTGAAATTAGTAAGTAAAAGTGCAAAATTTGGTTGCGAAATGTTGTAAAGCTTAGAAAATATAGCCTTGGAAAGTTTGCAAATTTTCAGTATATTTGTATTACGAGCGGAAATTGTTACCATTTTCGGCTCAAAAATGGTAACAATTTCCACACGTAATACAAATATACTGAAAATATGAAAACTTTGCAAAGCTATATTTTCCAAGCTGTACAACCTTTCTCAACCAAATTTTGCAAGTTTACTAATTTTAACAAGTTCGTAACGGGAATTTACTTTTTTTGTGCCTAGATCGGCTAGATCAAAAATTTGTCTAACATGCAAGTTGTCTATTAAGTGCCGATAATATTTAGACGGTATATTCATTATACAGAGCTAGGAAGGAGCTAGACCGCCTAGACAGTGCAGTCAACAATCAAGTGTATAAACATTTCAGACGTATTAAATATTAAGTCGAAAATCTTTGAGATTCTAGGCATTCAATTGAGTGCTGATATTATTTTCACGGTATACTCATTATACGGAGGTACAGTACGTACGGCGAAGCGAAACAGTGTTGTTTTCAAGTATATAAACATTTCAGACATGAATATTGTAAGATTGAGAAAATCTTTGAGATTCTACGCAATAATATAAGGCATGTACTAAAAGGCGAAACGTCGAAACGAAACGACCGAAACGAAACGGCCGAAACCACCGAAACGACCGAAACGAAACGACCGAAACGAAGCGACCGAAACGAAACAACCGAAACGGCCGAAAATGTAAATTACAGGGAAAATTGAAAAATGCGGATACGGACGGACGGACGGGGGGTGGGACAGGTGGATGGACGGGTGGGGACGGCTTCATTTGACACGAAACTCAATTTTAAAATCAAATCCGCGTTTTGTTGAAAGGGATATATTAGGATATATTATAAAAGACTATTATTAATCGTAATAAATTGTCCGCGAAAAGTTGATAAAATACATGTGGAAATGCGGGAGTTTTCGAACCTTCGTTGGCATAAAATATACATTACTACATGCCCAGATAATATAACAGAGAAAATTAAGCATGAAATTTGCAGTTGTAATTTGCGTTTGCGTAACTAGTAGGCCGTACGGCAATTGTCATATCTTAGCGGGAATTTGAGTTATATTTAAACCGATAACTGCATTGAAAAGTCCTTGAAAAAACAGCACATTACATTGCATAAAATTAGATTACTACATACCCAGATAACAGAGAAAATTAAGCATGAAACTTTTGCAATTGTAGCTAAATTAAATTTCCGTTTGCGTAAAAGTAGGCCGTACGGCAATTGTCATATCTTAACGGGAATTTTAGGTATATTTAAACCGATAACTGCATTGAAAAGCCCTTGAAAATATAACACATTACATTGCATAAAATTAGATTACTACATGCCCAGATGACTGAGAAAATTAAGCATGAAAGTTGCGGTATATCCGCGTTTTATCCAATCAAGCGTTACGAAGGTTCGAAAACCCCCGCATTTCCACATGTATTTTATCAACTTTTCGCGGACAATTTATTACGATTAATAATAGTCTTTTATAATATATCCTAATATATCCCTTTCAACAAAACACGGATTTGATTTTAAAATTGAGTTTCGTGTCAAATGAAGCAACTTGTCCATCCGTTTGTCCCCCCGTCCGTCCGCCTGTCCCCCCCGTCCATCCGCCTCTTCCCCCGTCCATCCACCTGTCCCCCACCCCGTCTATCCGCCTGTTCCCCGTCCATCCGCCTGTCTCCCCCGTTCGTCCGTATCCGCATTTTTCAATTTTCCTGTAATTTACATTTTCGGTCGTTTCGTTTCGGTTGTTTCGTTTCGGTGATTTCGATGGTTTCGGCCGTTTCGGTCGTTTCGTTTCGACGTTTCGCCTTTTAGTACATGCCTTAGAAATTGTAAGCAAAACATCGAAAAGCAAAATTTGCGGGGAAAAGCTCACGAGCCCGCACTATTTTCATGCAGCGTCGACGAAAGTCCACCCTGTAACCTGTTAACCCTGTTGGGTTTGGCATTACCAATGCGCGAGAAGACCCCGCACGAGAAAGCCCCTGTGCACGAGAGCGCCCCAACCAAATATGGAAGTTTTAGCTGCAGCGAATTGCTTATCAGCGGTTGGTAGGTAAAAAGGAATAGAAATTCTCTGAGTAACCAGACGAGCCTGTTGAACAAAGTCTACGAAGAGACGAGAGCAAAGTCTACGAAGATACCAGTTTTATAAATACCTGGTAAGTTATCGGTATGTTTATTTTACATTTGAGACTAGTTGTTCAACGTCATATAGCCATTATGATTAATAAACAGAATTAGCTAAAAAGCATCTTGCTAACAGATCGCCAACACAAACGTACATACAAACATGACATTGCAAACAGCAGAACATATCTTATTTATGTTGGTCATTTCGTTTTGTATTAACTATTAATACCGTATTTAATGGAATATTATTGAATGGATATTTTTAATTTTGGCAAGTACTGTAGTGTAAATTATTTACGAGAAAATGTCATATTCCACTTGCCAGGATGTTTTGGTTGTTTTGACAGTTTATCACAATCTCTTTGTACCTTCATTCCAACCCAGATTGTCCAGTTAGTGAGTGTTTAATTAATATATGGGAAGATTTTCAAGTGAGATGACATGAACACAAATTACCCTTTTATAATTTGTACTATAATATATAACAACAGCAAGTTCTTGTGTAATATTATTGTCAATTCCATGAGTAACCACCCTCCAACCCCCCCGCCGCGCCGGGAAACCGGGAATTTGCTGGGAACAACAGGTGGGTAATTTGTCTGCGCATGCGCGAAGAAAATCAATATGGCGAAATATATTAGGAGTGTTTCGTGAATTTATCTGGTTTTAAGCTGATAAAACAACATTTTAATGAACGCAAACTTTGTCATATTTAGTGGAAAACATTAAGCTATGCATTCCAAAGGTTTTAAATTGAAAATAAGTACTTCTGCTGTATTTTATTGCTTTTTATGCATTGAAAACAGGCAAGCTCATTTTTTTGCAAAAATGTAATCTATTATTTTACCCATCATTTGTTTAATCTGAACAGAAATAGATAGAACACTTGGCTATATAAGTTACAAAGGTATTGTTAGCTGATCTGAAAAATTTCAGTATTCCTGGTACACATTTTAACAAAGAATAAAATGTAATTTCAAAAATTAAATATGCATATCAAAAACAATAGTTTTTATTAGAACAACATATAATAAGTTGTTATTTTCTATTTTTACAAAAACAAGTTTGGAAACAGGATTTAGCCCTCCGGCTTGATGTCATATTCCATTTACTCGGATATTTCAATAAAGAATGTGAAATAATAATTCAATCTTGTGCAAAATTTGATACCAACACACATGTAAACAGATATTATCACCTAAAAATAAAAGAAAACAGAACTTAAATTTATCATCTAATGCTATGAAAAAAATCTTAGATACTACAGGCATATAGTGAGCACAATTCTTTGACAATCTCACTAAAATAAGTTCAGTTATGCTATGATAAGAGGGTGGCAATATATGACAACATCAAATGTCACCATATTCAGTGTCCAAAAAAAGTGCCGCGCGCATTTTTCATGGTCGCATAACTGGTATTGCCACAAACCCAGGTAAAAAAGCAATTAGAAAAACCTGGTTTGGGATGATGAGCATAGTCAAATTCTTGACTTATACAACTTTCTAAGTTTTTCCAGGTAAACAGATTCAACATTGAAATAAGCCCCATTCGGAACCTCATAGAAACCAAAATATTGTGTATGGACCAGATTTTTTTCAATTTTCTGTGATTTACATGACACTAGTTATAATTTAAGGGTCAACCAGTATTGTTCAAGACATATCTTCCTTCCAGAACACCTTTTCAAAATACTAACCCAAACATGTCAAAAATAGTGCAAATTTACAAGGGCAATTTCAACCCTTTGGCACATTTTTCCCATGAATGATTTTAATTCTAATAAAAAGACTACAGATAAAGCTTTGATTTAAAGCTAGTTTCAAGTGATGAGCATACCCTAATTTTTAAGCTAACCCTCAAGGAAGATAGGTCATTTCAACATAAACATTGAAATATGGGTATACTGACAGCTCTGTCACACTTGTAGTTTGGCATTAACAGCCCTTCTGAAACATTTTAATGAAAATATAATTCACAAAATTCACATTTTCACTTACGTCTTAATATCTGTTTTAATCCAACTAGCTCTGTAGGCACGAGCAAAATCTACAGGCGGGCGCGGGCAAATCGAGCCTGGGCCTCTGTGGTATTTCCGGTTGGGATTAGCTCACTCATACTTCGAGCTCACAGTCGAAACAGAAATGGAACTGATCGTGATAATTAAAAGATGCAAATTTGAAGATACAGTCTTGCAAATAACACTCTAAATAGTGTTTTTGATGGCAATTCGAACAAGACTATTACAAAGACGAGATGTTCGAAGGGGCCGAAGTTATTTTCGGCGAAAGGTATGGCTAGTCTATATTTTTGTTCAGACAACTGCGTAATTTGATAGTATACGATCTCGTTTGACTTTCAAAGATCCATAAATCACTACAATGTTAATAATGACAACAACTATCGTTTGGAATTAGTTGATCTTTTATTTCTGAATCGAATGGTGGTATTTCTGTCTTCATAGCATGCACTGAACCGAAGATATGAAATTTGTAGCCACAAGCCAGACGCGTCATCCTCGAGAGGTTGATGATGTGACAGCGGGTTTCAGGGGGTAGCGGAAGTGAAAATCCTGAGTATCAGGTTACACGTTTTCGTCTAATCAAACGCAAACAAAATATTGATTGTTCGCCAACTTCGCCGAAAATTTACCGAACGCGTTATTAATAGAAGAATAGATCGAGGTAGGTAAAGTTTTTAATTTACCTTATATTCTGTTATTTGTTATATTCTGTGTTTTGGAGCCGTTTTGCTCGCACTGATTATTTATCAGGCGTTTATATTGATATTGCGTGAAAGGCCACGCCATCAAAATACTCAATTTTATACTCGAACTGAAACGGAGCCATTGTGCTCGCACGCTAAAGTGTTCATCGTGTTCGATGACTCAAATTAAATTAAAAGCAAGTGTTGCACTCAGTGGTTTCTTCGTTTAAATACCACCGTTCGATTCAGTGTAACAATATCTCCCCATTCCTAGCGATAGTTTTAGTCAATCGCAACATTATAGCGATTTATGAGCTTTGAAAGTCAAGCGAGTTCGTATATGATCAAATTACGCGATATTACTAACAAATTATAAACATAAACATGCTGTGCTGAGTGGTTATATTACTACCTTAAAAAATAAGCAGAAACTCGACGTTTCGAGCGAAGGTCCTTCGTCAAGGCCGGTGTCACAGGAATGCTTCTGTAATGCATCCCAACCATACGAGCAATTATATATACTGTGTATATGAAAGAAAAAAACCCATAGGAAAATGTTTTTTTACGAAGTAACCACTCATTTGATTCTGTTTTTCGAACAAACGTTTTCACTTAAAAGTCTACTTTTACCGCTAATTACTCCCTGTTATTTATTAGACGCGTGCATATTAACATATTCGCCAACGCATGATGTCATCGTTTGCTAAAGTGCGGTTGTTATTCTGACTAATTTTATACTATGTGACTGAATTTATAGATCTAAATAACTCGTAATATCTTAGAAATTCTTATCTCTAAAATCGTTTTGTGTTCTTAGTTATAGTTAAGCCATCGTGCATTAACGTTGTCCTCTACAGATACCCATGTGTGATGCGTCTGGCATGACTGCACTAACACATATTATGCTTTCCTTCAAACTTTTAGCTCTTGGCCGCAATGAAGAATTTCGACACAAATAAATTATGCAAACTAACTATAAATATTGACAAACATTTTTAGGATCTTTGTTTAAGAAGAAACTTCACGATTTCCGAGCTTATAGCGACAAAGTAAACTATGTTTTCGAGGGGGCCAAATTTCCGAAGGGGAGGCCATATTTCCTAGGAAATATGGCCCCCAGGGGGGCCAAATTTCCTAGGAAATTTGGCCCGGGGGGGCCAAATTTTGGGGGGGGGGGGCAAATTTCCTGGGACACCGGGCCGACGTTTCGAGCGAAGGCCCTTCGTCAAGCTACTAACTCTTGACGAAGGGCCTTCGCTCGAAACGTCGAGTTTCTGCTTATTTTTTTAATTAAGGTAGTAATATAACCACTCAGCACATGCAGCATTTCTACATCGGTACTACCTACACTGGTACAGACAGTTTTAGTATAAACATAAACATACCTTTCGCCAAACATAACTTCAGCCCCTTGAGACGTACGCACTTTGTAATTGTCGATTGTTTGTTCGATCTTCGATTGAGAGTATTCAAAAAAGAGATTTACAGTGTTATTTTCAAATCATATTTGTAAAAGACGGACTGGACTGTACCGGACTGTACTGGACTGGGAGAACCCAGAACTGAGTCCGTGTTTTACAAATCGCTGACTGAATTTGTAAAACACGGACTGGACTGGACCGGGAAAACGCGGACCGAGTCTGTGTTTTACAAATCGCGGACTGAAATTTGTAAAACGCGGATTGAGTCTGTGTTTTAAAACAAATCGCGGACTGCGATTTGTAAAAGGCGGACTCATTCAATGTCGCTTCCAACTAAGGATGAACTGTCGCAGATAAAACATATTTGTCTATTCTCATGACAAAGTTCAATGTTTTTTCTGAGAAAGTTCGATGTTTGTGATGATCTTGATCATTTGAGCTTGGATCTGGTTGAACGTGATTGGCTGATTAGATTAAAACCTGCAGTCAAGTGCTCTTGACAAACATCGAAGATTCTCACGCGAATAGGCAATGTTTTCATGAGTGACCGTTCATCCTGCAAGCGACGGTACACGGACTCAGTCCAGTATTGACTCAGTCGTGAGAATTTTGGCGGGAATTGCGTATAATAGATCGGTCAAGGAATAATCATATCCTGGAACTAAGGTTGGTATAAATTACTTATCACTTATTTATCGCCGAGGGAAACATCGACGGTCGAGGGTCCACAAAACACACTGCTTTCCCGAGGTCTCAGTAAATAAGTGTTTTATTATATATCAATAGTCAAAGAAACAACAAATTAAAGATTAGAGATTCAATTCAAGAAAGTTCGGAAGGTGCGAAATATTAACAACATTCCAGAGGTTGCTCCCCAAATGATGGAATGTTTTGGTGCGCAGAATATATGCGCAGAACGGACTTTACCGCATCTTTAAACACTGGCTACACTGCAGTTACTTAAAGCGAAAGTTTTAATTACATACTAGGCATGTCCAAAGGTCGCATCTTCACGTGATGGCGCAAGTGATTTTTTTTATTATTCTCGATAACGTATTATCTCCCTCTCGCGCTGTTGCGAGGGAGACAGCCTAATTTCGTCACTCTCACGTGATATGCTCTCAACCAATAAAACACTAGAAAAATGCGACTTTCACTATTGATATATAATAATATTATTTATTTATTGTTTTGAATAAACAGATGAACAGCGTTCAATCTTAGGAACACGCTCAGTCATGTGGGACTTTCTGCCACTATTGTCGAGGAAACTCATGCATGAGAGGGCGTATTAAAATGGTTTATCTATAAATTTGCGAGAAATATGAAATGAATACTATAATCGAATAACGATTCTTAGAAACTTCCTCGTACGACAACAATAAAATTTAGAAGTTTCGCCGTTTAATAGCACAATTTAAAAGGTATATTCGATTACAGTATTTATTTCATATTTCTCACAAATTTATAGTAAATTTTAATACATATTTCTTCGCCACGAACACAAAATAAACAAATTAACTCTATCTGATATTTGTTGGGATCGTAAATCAAAACCGCAACCGTACCATTGTAAAATGAATGTAATCAAGAACGGTTTCGTCTAATTACGATTAACACTAAATGGTATCTGCTATAAGAGCTATATCTATACAGGATACCGCTACAGTATTTACATTGATATGAAACGGCCACATTTGATATACGCATACACGAGTTTCCTCGACAATAGTGGCACAAAGTCCCACATGACTGAGCGTGTTCCTAAGATTGAACGCTGTTCATCTGTTTATTCAAAACAATAAATAAATAATAGTAATTTATACCAACCTTAGCTCCAGGATATGATTATTCTTTTACCGATCTATTATCCGCAATTCCCGCCAAAACTCTCACTACTGAGCGCAATTCCCGCCAAAACTCTCACGACTGAGTCAGTACTGGACTGAGTCCGTGTACCGTCGCTTGCAGGATGAATGGTCGCTCATAAAAGCATTACCTATTCGCGTGAGAACTTTCTCGGTAAAAACATTGAACTTTGTCATGAGAATACACAATGTTTTATCTGCGACCGTTCATCCCTAGTTGGAAGCGACGGTATTGAATGAGTCCGCCTTTTACAAATCACAGTCCGCGATTTGTAAACACAGACTCAGTCCGCGATTTGTAAAACACGGACTCGGTCCGCGTTTTCCCGGTCCAGTCCGTCTTTTAAAACATGCCCATTTTCAAGCTTCTATCTTTAAAGTTTGATTGTACAATTTAAAGATGCTGTAACGTCCGTAATGTAAACAAACGCTTTGTTTACATTTTGAACTGCCTGGCTATATTTGTAAAATATGATATATTGAGTGAAATATTCGACATGAGCGCAGACTCCATATCGGATCGTATTTTAACAACAACTTTGTCTTAAATAAGAAACATCGGCACTCAACGAAATAATGCATGCTTTCATATTTAAATTTTGGGGAAATGTTTTGGTCATGTCCAGTATGGTTCGCCACTGTGCGTAACAAAACTAAAATTTCATCTGCTCGCCAAAGGAGAATTCAGATAAAATAAATTTTTTGTTCATTTTCAAATGGTGTATAAACTTTAACAATGAAACAAATTGCAACGTGCATGAATAAGGACAGCCACTTAAATACTTGAGGGGGGTAATAGTTGTATAGAAATGTTCTTCCTGAATGTTTTGTCAACTATAAGCAAAAAGAATGTCTTGTTTGCATGATAATACCGTTTCTTAGTGATCTCATGCAATGCAAATTATTTAAGAGAGAACACGCAAACCGTTATAAGTAAATGCGATTTTATTTTTTGAAGCGCTCAGTTCTCACACTTCGCATTCATGGCTGATATTATAAGATGAAATATTATTAAGGTAAAATGTACTTTGTGTACTTTTAATATTCTTATGAGTAGCCTATAGTTTAGCTCTAAGTAATGATATCGTATTTCTAAATACATTGTATTTATGAAGCTAAAGTTGATGATGCTGCACGTGATATTGTTCACTCGGGAATATGATATAGGTAATGTCCTATCATATCACCCAGTAAACAATATCAGAGCATCACGTAACACTCGCAGAATATTGTTCGATGCTGAATTGATATAAACGAGTATGTTTACGATATTCAGTATATAATTCATAATGTCCAGAGTCCAGCCAGCATTTCGAAGGTTTATATATACTGTATATATATATATACATTATCTGGTTCAACCCCTCGGAATTTCCTGCAGCTTCTCGATAAACACGGAAATATAAGACATTGTTTCACATCATATCCTAAGTAGTATTATGATCAATGATATAATTATGTTGACTTGTGTCACGAAGCACTACTGGACTAAGATAATACCAAAACTCTTTAATTATTTCTTTAATTACAATACTCAACAACGATTAATCTCCACGAAATACATCTCACGATTTCACCTTATTAACTCTACAATACTCACTTCCATGCGGTTCTCTCTCCTCTAAAAACACATACACTAAAAGGCGCTAAGACACATACACTAAAAGGCGCTTAAACACATACACCAGAAGGCGCTTCTCTACACTCCCCCCACCTAAAATCAACTTGATTACTGACTATATCAGTTCACTGGTTAACTCAACACGAAAGTAGGTATAAAATAGTTCAAATCGACAAAGTTCATGCAACACTTCCATTACTATAATAGTGTTTAACTTATCTGTTCACAGTGTTCAATAATCCAACACAGGTACTCCATAACGATCGGGTTGTCTTCGATTCTGTCTTAAGTTATAACATAAATTTAATGGTTCTGCTTGATCATCGATTCCACGTGGTGCTAAACGTACTCCAGCACGCTCATTAATAAGTTCAATCGTAGACTCATCCGAATCAGAACTTAGCATGTCTTCCGATTCCTCACCCAATGGATTAGCAACTGTTTCTACGACAAACCGTCTTAGATTATTCGCATTTACAACTTTACGTTTTCTGCTTTCCAATGACTCTATCTCGCAATCGTTCTCTCGAATGTTAACAATGATGTAAGGACCCGTATACTTTTCATCTAAACCTCGCGCTCGAAAATTCTTTAATAGAACAGTGTCCCCCATGTAAAACCGCTTGTTTTGTTGTGCTCGATACCGTAAATCATAACTACGTTTCTGCTTCTCTTGCGCTTTCTCGATCCTTTTAGTAACCAATTTCCGGAGAATATCTTGTCTCTTCTTTAACTCTTCAACGTATTTGGCTGGACCATGTGTTGGGCTAGATACCAGTTTTTCTTGATCCGTTCCAAATGGCAATCTCACTTCTCTACCATATAACATTTCGAATGGTGTCACACCCGTAGAGGATTGCGTACTAACCCGATAAGCCAGTAACGCATGTGGCAGCTGCTCGTCCCAATCATTTTTCTCTTTGTTTACTCTCATTCTCAACAAGGATTTCAAAATACCATTAAACCGCTCGCACAACCCGTCTGTTTGGGGATGGTAGGCTGTAGTCCGTCTCTTTTCAATTCCAAACATTTCACATAGACTTGCAATCACTTTGGACTCAAAATTACTGCCTTGATCTGTTAGTAGGACTGAGGGCATTCCATGTCTAGCAAAGATGTCTTCCAGGGCTCTCGCAACTGTAACTGCTTCTTGATTTGGCAATGCTACTGCCTCTGCGTACTTTGTGTAGTAATCAACGACTGACAAAATGTATTTGTTTCCTCTACTAGTTGTTTTTAATGGACCAATAATGTCTACACCAATCATATAAAATGGTATGGGTATCACTTCGATTGGCTTCATCGGACTCCGCGGCCTAGGTACTGCTTTATTTTTGGAACAAACTTCACAATTTCTACAAAATTCTTCAACAGCTTTAAAGAATCCAGGCCAATAAAACTTCCGTTGAATCATCTCAAACGTTTTTGCAACACCTAAATGTCCAACTTGACAGTGGGCTTCTTCCAGTATGTTAGGAGTTAGATAGGTAGGTACCACAATTTGCTCTCGTTCCTTTGCTGTTTTATCAGTCCACTTTCGACATAAGACATGATTTTTGACAACCAATGAATCAAAATTCTTGTATAATGTATCTAGAGTTACACTCACATCAACCAACTGAATATCCTCGTCGAACGTTTGCATGACTTCAAACTCTTGCCAGGTTGACATTGAAACCAAGATAGTGTTCACAGGTGCACGAGACAAGGCATCCGCATGCTGCATTTTCGTGTTAGGTAGGTGTTCTATCGTATAGTCATATTCTTCCAATTTTAAGATCCAACGAGCTAATTTACCATTTGGATGTTTGATGTCTCGAAGCCATTTCAAAGCCTTATGATCAGTATATATGGTGACCTTTCTCCCATATACATATGGGTGAAAGTATTGTAAAGCCCAGACCACTGCAAATGCTTCCTTTTCTGTTGTTGTCCAGTTCTTTTCAGCACCCGAAAATGCCTTAGATGCAAAAGAAACCACTTTTTCTTCCTCATTTTCATCCTTTTGGGTCAGCACTGCGCCTATGCCCACATCACTCGCATCCGTATACAATATATAGTCTCCATTTAAGTCAGGAAATGCCAAAACAGGGGCAGATATAAGTTGTTCTTTCAGTTGTTCGAACGCTCGTTGACAGTTCTTGTCCCAATCAAAGCGGACACCTTTTTGCGTCAGACGATGAAGAGGACCTGCAATATCACTAAAGCCAGAAATAAAACGCCTGTAGTAAGAGGCCATACCCAGGAAACGTCGCAACTCAGTGAGATTTTGTGGGGTAGGAAAAGCACGGATTGCTCCAACTTTGGTCACATTTGGGGCCAGACCAGCAGCAGAAACGGTAAAACCCAAGAAATCCACACTTGGCTTCGCAAAACTACACTTGGACAACTTAAGTCTCAATCCAGCTCTGTCTATAGCCTGCAAGACATCGTCCAAATTCTCCAAATGTTGGTCAAACGTGCGACCCACGACCAAAAGATCATCTAAGTAAACCAGACTCTTGAGTGGCAAAAGACCATTCAACACAGCAAGCATAAGTCGCTGGAACGTGGGCACAGCATTCGTTAGGCCAAAGGGCATACGCAGGAATTCAAAGTGACCACCCCCTGGAATCACGAAAGCTGTTTTCTCCAGACTAGATTCGTCAACTGGAACCTGCCAATATCCCGAGGCTAGGTCGAGTGTCGAAAAATACTGATGACCAGCTAAGTTATCCATCAAATCAGCAACCTAGGGAAGTGGGAAAGCATCTTTCACTGTGACATCATTTAGTTTCCTGAAATCAATACAAAAACGCCATGTCCCATCTTTCTTTCGAACTAAGACTATAGGACTTGACCATGGTGAATTACTCGGCTTAATTATGTTGTTTTCCAACATTTCTTCTACTTGGTCTTCAACAACGGTTCTCAGAGAATTGGGCAGTCTTCGAGGCAGCTGTTTAACAGGTACGGCATCGCCTGTCTCAATCTTATGCTCTGCTAGTGTGGTTACGCCAAGTTCACTAGAATTTTTCGCGAAAACATCTTGGTATTTATTCAACAAATTCTCCATCTTCTCTCGCTCCTCACCCGACAGATGCTCTAACTCAAATTTGATCTTATCCTCGGCAGATGGTGTACCGCACTTTGAATTAATAAATGTTGGGTCTCTTAACTCATCACCAACTTGCTGAAGTTGCCCAACAGTCATGCCCTTGCACAACTTAATAGGTGATGTCCCTGGATTAATAATCTGGATGGGTACCCTCTGTTCTTTTGGCTGTACAATAACTCTTGCTACAAGAACACCTTTCCCGGATAAGTTCATATTAGGCTCTAAGATGCTTTCATTTAAAGTGGGATTTCGGACCCTGGCAGTTTTGAAAACTTCATGTTTCGCCGGAACAACCAAATCCTCATCTAGAACAACGCCCAGGGTATCTGCTATGGTTGAATCAAATAAACACAAGGGTTTTGTGGTACCATCTGGGAATTTCAAAACCATTTCAGCCATATCGACATTTACTTTGTTAGTTACTAAACAATCTAAACCCAGAATAATTTCAGACACCATTTCATTAGCCACATAAAAGTCATGAGATGACTTGTTGTTTTCATCAAATTGTACATTCAAGGTGGTTTTGCCCAGAATCCCAATGGGAGAATTGTTAGCGGCTTCTGCAACAATATCGGATGGAAATAATGGGGTATCATCCAGTTTAAGAGGTTGCCACCGGTCTTTACTAACTAATGAAATGGATGCGCCGGTGTCAACTATACAAAGTTTGTTTTTCCCATTAATAGTAGTCTCGACCATAAGGGTTTTCTTCTTACTCGCTGAAGAAACGGTAGACAGTCTGATTTTTGAATATTTTTTCTTGGGGCTTTCACCATCTCTACTAGAACCCAGACCTCCCTCCAACTTGGCATTAAGAACTTTGCAATATGGCCACTATTCCCACAACGATAGCAAATGGTCACGTGTCTATCCATTTGCCAATTCTTATCATAACCTTGGAGCTTAGTATTAACTGGTTGTTGATTAGCCAAGGGGCAGTATTTTGCCAAATGTCCTGGCTTTTGACATGAATAACATAACTTAGTTTGTGGACGTGCAGTATTATTTTGCCTGAAGTTGTTCATAGTAGGGCACTGTCTGGACACATGACCAAATCCATTACACGAATAACATGTTTTAACAGCATTCAAAGAACTAACTGAGCCAATTGTTGTTCTACTTAATTTTTCTGTTGCTTCTCTGGCTAATGTTTTCATTGTGGCATTTGCTGCCTCAAATCTTCGAGCAATTAACAAGGCATCATTTAAACTGTTTGGTGGCTCTTGTAACAACTTGTTTTGGGTGGCCTTATCTCTCAACCCCAAAATAAATTGATCAACCAACCTGCTAGAATATTCGTCACCATGGAAACCACATCTAGCTCCAGCTTCTCGCAAAGAAACAGCAAACGAATCAACAGACTCACCAGGCTCCTGTTCTCGACGATGAAAATTGTAACGTTTCTCCGTAGCAGTCTGATTCCTTTCAAATAAGGACTTCAACTTTCCAATCCAATCTTTGTACGCGTTTTCCCCTTCGCCAAACTCAACCGGTTCTGCCAAACGAAACGCGTCTTCGCTCAAATTAAACAACAGCGCAAATCGTCGCTTTTTAACATCTTCAAGTTCCACTGCTTCGAAGTACAGATTACATTTCTTGATGAACAAATCAAAGTCTTCGCCAATTTTAAACTTGTCGGGCCTTCGAAACAATGACAAAGATAACTTATTCGTCTCAACATTCGGTGCTTCTGCTTGCTCAGGCTCGACCGCCATGTTTGCACGATACAAAACACACTCGAAAACAAGTCAAAATGTCACATCATTTCCACAGGTTTGGTCTCGGTGGGACCTCCAAAATTGTCACGAAGCACTACTGGACTAAGATAATACCAAAACTCTTTTATTATTTCTTTAATTACAATACTCAACAACGATTAATCTCCACGAAATACATCTCACGATTTCACCTTATTAACTCTACAATATCTCACTTCCATGCGGTTCTCTCTCCTCTAAAAACACATACACTAAAAGGCGCTAAGACACATACATAAATAAATTGGACACGAAGCAGTTTGCGTTTCCAGGGAAATCTACGACTCACGCCCTAACATACCTCTTGCACACCATTTTGTCTTCCCTTGAGAACACTTCCTGCTCCGCTAGATTGTTTTTTGCAGACTTTAAAAAGGGGTTCGATCTTGTTGATCATAATGTCATAATATGCGAGCTGGAAAATCTTGGTGTACATCCTGCCATAGTGCGGTGGATAAAAGCTTTTCTTAGCAACCGTGAACAGTGTAGTGAACAATCCACTACAATACTTCATAAACTCGTCATATGCGCATCGCATTTTTTTTACAAAGAGACGCCTGGGTACGAGGCAGGTTTCATAGCATGTTAGACCCACTTTGGTCGGTAGATTTGTAGGTGAAATAAGTTTGTTTGCTTTCTAGTCTCTTCAATGTGGATGTTCCATTTAAAGTGCCTATATCACTTGTGGGACATTTATGGATTTGAAAACAGCGTAAAAAGTTAGTTAATAAGTTCAAAAGATTTTTTTGATTTAGTGCAATAGTTTTGAGGATATGGGCCTTTCAAAAACGGACTGTTCATGAGTCCCAGTCTCCTGCGCTCTAAACGCGGCTATTGAATTTGGCCTTTTTCGAAACTGTCCATTGTGCATAGAAGTCTGGGACTCAGGAACTGTAGGTAGTTTAGAGGCCTGTATCTTCGAAATTATTGCACTAAATAAAAAAAATCTTTTGAACTTATTAACTAACTTTTTACGTTCTTTTCAAAGGTCCCACAAGTGATATAGGCACTTCAAGGATATTATTAATCCAAAGACCTAGCAGCTTGAACGAGTTCACTCTTTCAATCGTATCATTGCCAAGTATTGGGAATGCAGTCTTCGAGGTCATCTACATGAGCATTAAACAATGTTGTTTGTAATGTTACTCTGAGTGTATATCCAAACCGGGCGAGCTTGAAAACTATGTCCGGCCACGGTGGGAATCGAACCTACGACCTTTGGAAACTGAGCTACGCGGTCAGGTCGGTTCAAGTAAGTGATGTTTCGGAACAGAATCTAGTTCCTTCGATACCAATGTAATCTAGTAATATGATTTTTTCTGTGTTGGTGTTAAGTACTCAGGTGAATATGATGTTTGTAATGTTACTCTGAGTGTATATCCAAACCAGGCGAGCTTGAAAAATATGTCCGGCCACGGTGGGAATTGAACCTACGACCTTTAGAATACTAGCCCAATGCTCTGCCAACTGAGCTACGCGGTCAGGTCGGTTCAAGTAAGTGATATTTCGGAACAGAATCTGGTTCCTTCGATACCAATGTAATCTAGTAATATGATTTTTTCTGTGCTGGTGTTGTGTGCTCAGGTGAATATGATGTTTGTAATGTTACTCTGAGTGTATATTCAAACCGGGCGAGCTTGAAAAATATGGCTCCTCCATTCTAGAAAGCTCCATGTCCATGCTTAGCCAGACGCTTTTCGACACGTTCATTTTTGCGAGCTTTCTTAAAAGCAATCCGTGGTCCACCAGATCAAATGCTTTGCAAAAGTAGATAAATAAAACGTGGATACCCATTCTTCCATCACGCGAGGTTTCAATCTTGTTGAACCAATTTTGGGTGATGCTCGCAAGTGCAGATACTGTCGATCTACCAGGTGTAAATGCATGTTGATTATCTTTGATCTTAAGGTCCCCTTTGTTTAATTTAAGTTGGATGATTTCTAAGACTTTAGCCAATTGCGGTAATACTGAGATTTGACAGAAATCATTGTCCATGTAGGTGGGTACACTTTAGGTACTAGGGTGACCAATGCATGTTTATATGGGGTTGGATATTTAGCCTGGGAGATGCTGGAGCATATGATGTTATGAATAACAGGAGCAAGTTCTTCATTGTAATGTTTCAGTAACTATGAAGGGATCCCATCTGAGCCAGTGCATGGCCTTCCTGGGATTTAGATGTTTAAGGGTGCCTTAATTTGTCCAATGGAAGGTAACGGGGGACTGGTATCATTGTTAGGTAGGTGTTCAAATTCCCCAACATCCGGAATTTCAGTTGGGGTTGCATTCTGCCAGGGTTTGGTGAAGCTTTGTTGCAGGCGTTCCACTAGATCTGCTGCAACATCTGCTGGAGGTTGAGAGTTACAGTCATTGGCGGCAGCAAGTTCATAATAGTTTTCACTTTTGTACCACTTTGCCGGACTCGTTTCGCGTGTACCTTCTGCTTTTAGTTGGTAATAATTCTCTTTCGCATTTGATACAAGGACATGCCAAGGTTAGCTATTATGTGACAAACTTCACTTGTCAAGTGAGGTAACTTTCAAAGTTACCTCACTTGACAAGTGAGGTAACTTTGTCACATAATAGCTTGTACCTTGGCATGTCCCCAGATGTAAACGCCTTTTGCCTAGCTTTTATTTCGTGTTTTATACGCGGTATCATGGCTGTGTCATCCACGGCTTGTCGGAGGGGTGGGTACGTACAGTAAGTTTAGGCAGCGATTTATCAAGCATGCGCACGATAGTACAAGTCAACGCGCGCACACGAACATCATGTTGTAGAACGAGAACTGTACTGGACTTGTAAAACGCTCGATAGAACTAACAATAAAATGGTTTTTGTGGATGGAATTTTCGAGTGGAAGATTGTGCAGAATTTTATACCTAATCAGGAGCAGCTGCGAAAAATGCAACTATGAGCCCTCTGGCAGGAATTGAATCTGCGGTCCTGCGATTCCGGTGCAGCGCTCTTACCTAACCATGCAACTGAGCTACAGAGTCGAGTTGTTTCGCGATTTGCAAAACATTAATCTTTTCCGAGTCCAATTCAGTCCACTTCATGTTTTACAACATCCCTGTTGTGGAGTTAAATGCTGAGTTGGGATTTTGAATTTATGGAAAGTTTAGCCAATATTCGTTAGCCTTATTTATCCGGGTACTGTAAGTACCGGAGTTTTAAGATCTTTTTTCTTGCGCGAGCAAAAGCTATACAAAACATTTAAAAATAGCCGCCGTTTGTACTAGGTTGGAGCGAGCGATGTATATTTACAATATATTTCGTTGTATTAGATCTAGTACTAAATATTATACACCAAATGGAGCAGTTTTCATACACTCGTTTTCATACAGTGACCACAGTTAATAATCAGTAAATCGCAATTCGGGACTTTCGCGCGTGTTTATAGTAGCGGTTGCCGCGGTCATTACAAAGCTTTTTGAATCGTTAGCATATTCTTATTTTTTATTTATATAAAACTTAAATTTTGTAGTTATTAATAAATTTTGTTGGCACTCATCATTCGTGTTCTTAGTAGTCTCCCTTCGAGCCGCTCGTGCCTCGTGGCCTAAATTGAAGTGCAAAAAACGCACAAATCTACTCGACATACCTGAAATTCTTCGATTTGCAGGGCGTATATTATATCGCAAACCACAACAATATTGGCAATATTGTCTCAGCTTCAAGACAAAAGCGCATATTAAATAATATATAACCAGATTGCTTTACGCAACACAAAAAGTCGCAGTTTAATGTTTTATTAATAGAGTAAATACAAAATCGCTCTCGACATTGGCTTGTTAAAACTCTAAAGGTACTGTACTATAAATCATCACTATAGGAGGATTTTTAAAACTTTATAATGCGTTTGATAATAACAAGCTTACGGCCTAACAAATCAAAACAATGATCAATACTGTATAGTCTGTATAGCAAAATATCAACATAACAACTTATGAGTTATATGTCTTACGAACTTACTGCCATGCAACGTAAAGTATTGATAACTATTATATGACACAACTAATTAACTAGTATACAGTAAATTTCTTTTTTAACGCCGAGACACCGTACGCGATTCGACAACGCAGCGCGATTTTTCAGTTTTTGAAAGTTAATAAAACGGCCATTGAAAGGAAATTTTAAATAATATGTAGACCAGATAATTCAAAATAATATAGTGCTTCTAAGTATTTGGAAAATTTAAACCAGGATCAAAGTTATCGGTCAGTGAAAATCGAAAAATCGCGCCGCTTTGTCGAATTGCGTCCGGTGTGTGTTGGCCTTAAATCCGGCATATCCTTTGCGTGTTTAATAAATGTGGTTTATTTACGTTAGCAATTCAGTTTTTTTATAATAAACAATTAATGAATGAGGTTGAGTATGATATCGAAAATTATCAAGGGCGACATAGGCGTTGAAAGATCGATAAGTGTGTGTGTGTGTGGGGCGGGGGGGGACCATATTCATATATTCGGGTTCTGCATTATTAATTTCTTTTGAAATCGATTGTTTTTAAGGTCTGTGAACACGAATATATGAATATGGTCCCCTCCACTTATCGATCTTTCGACGCCTATGAAGGGCGAGGTTTGTGTCATCTACCGACGCTGAAGGCTGACGTGGATAACACCGAGGCCTTGATAATTCTCGATATCACACGAAAACCAAATTCAATAATTATTTTATTATATATCGCTAGCTTCGGCGTAGATCTAGAAAAGCTTCAAAATTCCTGCCAATTTAATGGCGTCTTCAGGATAATTTCTTTGTTTTTGTTTAAGATATTCCTCCCTGCAGTAACTTGGAAATTTCTTGATCATTTAACGTTGCGAATTAGCCAGCTCAAACTCATTTTAGGGAATTTTCGCGCGCGCTTTGGCAAACAATTGACCGCGTCGGGACTTGGTAAACACAGCGTGCAATAATACTTTTTGGACTGAATTTCGGTCCAAAGAAGTATTATTGCACGCTGATGGCGTCGGCAGCCGAAATAACGCGACGGCTTCAAGATATCGAGAATTATCAGACGTGTGTTGACCAATCACGAACGAGAATATACTTTGAATATATAATAATGATGAATATCATGACAGGATTTTCTGTAATCCTGGTATACTATTTAGAGATACATGTAGTTATACTGTACATCTGATACTAGACTAAATGTGATTAAAGCACTAGGGATATTATCTGCCACTGTCTTGTTTTATTTTTATGTTATAAAATATTATGGTCATTGTGTCTTTAAAGATATGTCGGTTTTGACTTTTGAATCACTAAGACTAAGTGGTTGCGCTGTAGTACCCCCGCTTTTCTAACTTTAACATGCCAAATATCATGGCATTAAACATATCTTAATCGGTAAGCGCATGTTAAAAGTATTTGTGTTTAGTTTAACGCCCTGTACCCGGAGTGAACGCCTGAGCCGGAGTCTTGCTTAAAAAAGATTTCGACTACGTTAGTCCGAAAAGTTATTGAAATTGCTCGCTTTGCTTCATTTGCATCTTCTTGTATCCGCGAATCGCCTCATTGAGACCCTAGCTTCCATCAACCTACATTTAAGAAATGGAAAATGCCCTTATACTCTAGCTATTTTTGAGGCAACTACGTTTATAGCTTTCCTTATACCTCTTTCTACCTTTCTGACAAAGTTAAGAAACAGTTTCGCTCGTAACGTACCATTGAGAAGGCAGAGAAGCATATTTTTCTTATGCGACGTTAATAATAATTAGTGCATTTGATATTTTGCATTTTTTGCTACGGAAACCATTTTCAAAGACTTGACGGCTTTTTACCAATGTTCAGCTACCAGGTGCATGACTGCTACCGGCTAGCTACTTGCTTGGAATTTACATCAATTTTCGACCAGAGAATGTTTTTAGAAAGCTTGTACACAAAGAGCGAAAAGAACAGCATTTATATGTGCCGCGATATGCCAGGTGATATGCCATGTTTTCATTAGAAATGAGGAATTATAACTAGATAATATTGTATATAACTTACATAGGCAATTACAAGAGAAGGACTAACTATAGAAGGTGCAAAAAGTGGTGAAGCACAAACATGACTATGTCCCATGCACATCACTAGATGAGTTAGTATAGAAGAGCAAGAAAAACATGGAATAGAAAGGTGGAAAGTAAATGAAAAGCTAGGAGAACCGACAGACGATAAAGAAGAGAAGTAGTAAAGCATGAGTGGCATGGCATGCGTGGAAGATATCAGTTACTGGTGATCAATGAGTGTGAGGTAGATAAGTCAGTTAGGTCGAGATAAGTCTTGGGTATAGGTATGAGTTAAAGATGTCGTTGCGGAAGAAAGAACTTTGAAAAGTATTTGTTTTACAGGCTTACATTTTTAAAGAGCCATAGGTGCCCACGCATGTCGTGCATGCCTGTAGTACAGGTACAACATGCTACGATGTGTCTAGGTCGATGAGACCGCATTTGTGTCCGTTCGACCTTCTGTTCTCTGTCATACAAAACCGGGATGAGGTTCAGTTACGTTAGCCGTTAAACATAACTCATTTTACCACGTTTGTTCGATCTTGTATTAAAATGTCAAGTCTTTGAAAATGGTTTCCGTGGAGGAAACCGAAATGTTAGACGTCTAAAATAAATAATTTTGCGTATAAATAATCCAAAAGAATAATTGAAGAAAATAAACAATATATTTATCTTGAACGGGTGCCAGTGTAGATTGTGCCAATAATAACAAGCTTTCGTTGCTAAGATGCAACTAGTAGGGCTCAGTAGCCACTAACCTTCCAACGAATGGCCGTCGCTCGAAACGTCTAATTTCATCTTGTATTTTTCAGGTACTTGCAAAATTTTTATATTTTTCGTATTTTGCCTTTCAGAAAAAGACGCTCAATAAAAGTACAACACATGTGAAGCCCTTGAAAAGCCAATAATTCACACAACGAAACTCTGCAGCTTCAGTCGTTGCAGCTTTGCAGCTTCAGTTTTGAAGAAGAGGTTTGTTGTAATCACGGTTGCTCGCTGAGGAAGTCCACTTTGAAGTTTTCGTGCAAACAAAAAAATGATCCGATCCATCAAAAAGGTTGTCGTGTCAGGGTCAATACTTTCTTTTATAATGGTGTCAATTTTTTTAATCTATAAGAATGTTACAATGGAATATCTGCATCCAGCAAGGTTGTCAACTAATCCAACAAGAATTCCAACTAATCCAACAAGAATTCCAACTAATCCAACAAGAATTCCAACTAATCCAACAAGAATTCCAACTAATCCAACAAGAATTTCGACTAATCCAACAAGGATATCAACTAATGCAACAAGAATGTCAAAACGAGAACTGTTATTATTTGTTGGCATGCATAGTGCTCCATCGCGTCTTGATCGAAGAAATGCCATCCGTGAAACATGGATGAAAGAATGTCAATTGAATCCTAATACTGTTTGCCGTTTCTTTACCGACGGACAAGATCCAAAGGGACAAGCGTTGCAAGGAGAGGAAAGAACTAAACTTGAGAACGAGAGTCGAGTTTATGGAGATATTCTCTTAGCTGAAACACCTGGAGGGTTTAATTTTGCTATAAAGTATCTTTGGATGATGCAATGGGCGAACGAAAGATACAACTTTCGATACTTTCTTCGCCTTGATGATGATTACTTTGTTTGCTTTCACAAGTTGATGGTGGAATTAGAATTTTTTCGACCGAGGGAGAAATTTCTATGGGGCTGGCTGCATTGTACTGATAAAGGTATGAGTGAAAATTCAGCTACCGTATTTACTCGTGTAAGCGCAGCCCCCGGAATAAACGTCGCCCCTGAATAAGACCAAAATCCTGTGTGTACGAGGTTGCAATTTTTAACAAGCCTCGGAATATTTTTCTCCTGAATTTCACTAAGCTCAAAACTACGCCTGGATAGAGCAACCTTTTGAATTCCCTGAATTAATTTTGAAGCCAGAATATTTCTAATGAAAAGAGATTTTTAAATCTATCATTTCTCTTACGAATCAAATCGTTACGTGTTTAAATTAGTAATACTATCAAGTAAATAACTTCTTCTACATAACTTATATATTTATTTATTTAGCTTTGCCAACTAGGGCAGGATCACCACAACAGCATATGCCAATTACTGTGGGCCCTTTTACCTAACCCACCCTGTCAACTTTCTCTGTGGGAGGAAACCGGAGTACCCGGAGGAAACCCACGACTTTCAGCAGAGCGTTGACTTTTAAGCCAGTTTTCCACTAGGCGGAATTTTGCGCGCGGAGTGAAATTTTTCTTTGTCTTTTCTAATTAGTTCCACCCGAGAAATCACAAGACAAAGAAAGATTCCGCTCCGCGCGCAAAATTCCGCCTAGTGGAAAACCGCCTTGCCTTTACTCTTCTCACATGAGGACTGGGTTCGAGTCGCATTGAGAAAGTTGTCACTGAGGCTTGAACCTGCGGTGTTAGAGGTGAAAGGCAAGTGCGCTAACCACTTCGCCACCGAAGCCCCATACGTATGCGAACAGGCTCTCTTTGAACTCTCTTTGAAATTTGAGAGAGAGCCTACAGGCCTAGCTAATAAAACGCGTCTGTGCGTTGTTTAGAACGACGCAGGGTTCCCATTGGTTGAAATTGAATTAACTACATTATACTGCCATAAAAGGTAATTAAATTTACACAACAATAGATTCAAATAAAAAAATATCGTTCTATAGCGACGAGTTGTATAGAAAACTAAATCTTTGTTTAAAGTTAAAGGATGGGCAGTCAAAAGCTCTTAACAATATTCTAGACGGAAACGATGTTTTTGCTGTATAAGAGAGTTTGGCAAATACAACGGCAACGTTCTTATATCAACAATAGCATCTTTACTCTAAGACAAGGGCGACTCTAATTTGCATTATTGAGCATTCTAGTATGCCGTTGTTGTTCAAACTCAAGTCGTGCCGGTGTTTATGTGAATTCACTTACTATTGCTACTTCAGGGAATTTCAGGGTTGTTTGAAAGAAAGACAAGTGCTTTTAATGTTGTAAACAATCATGCGTTGAAATCGAGATATGCGTTTTGTTTACATATATATTCGCAGGCTATTACATAAGGCGTGTCTGTATTAATAGCCGTTGTCACATTAGAAGACGGACAAGTCGTCTAGACGAACAGATCGTCTCAAAATCGTCTTTTAGTCAAACAAATCATCAGATGTGAAAACGTGTCGGACAAAATTTTAGACGAACAAGTCGTCTGAATTTGTTCGACTACTTCTCCGTCTGTAGCCTGCGAGCAGGCTCTCTGGGTGAAAGAGAGCCTGCAAGGATCCCTATGATATTTACGTGCATGCGTCCAATATTTGGACGCAAAGCTCTGATTGGTTGATAACTGATTCAAATTAAGTGATTGACAAGCTTCCGTAAACTACACTTCCCGTCTGTAAAACCGAGCAACGCAAAGCTTCGAATTTCGACAATGTAGAGACATTAATGTCATGTATTTTGTATCCTTGTTGACTTTTTACTGTAAATTAATATAGTATTCATATAAAGACGAATGCTAAAAGCTTGCATGCTTTATTGAGTGTCTTGGGCTTGTCTGACTTCTAGGCTAAGAAAAGACTGAACAAATTCGCAAACCGAAACCTACGGACAAGGCATTATATCGCTTCTCTTTCATGAAACAATATTGAGAATTATTCTGATAATATTCAGTGCATATTGTTTGGATTAAGCTTGTTTTACAATGTTATACTGACGATTTAATATTTATAAGTATGCGGCGCTAAAATGTACAGTAATTTTATACTCGTCACTTTGTTTACAATAATTATCACATGCATGTTTACTGTAATTCCACCTTCTGTCGCAAAATTTGAACTATATTAAACATATTAAATTATTTCCAATGTCCATGATATATCATATATGTCTATGTCTCACCAAAACCATAAATTTCAGTAAGTTATATTATTAATTTATTACTATACTGGATATATATCTTTATTGCCGATTGCAGCATGAAGCAATTCCAAACAACTGAATTAGTTAGCGGGTAATATACAACTTTGAACTTACTGTGCCTACAGAAACACGTGCAGATTGTAATAAAAAGTACAACTTGACATATTACACTGTAAAACCTCGAGCCGTTTTAACTTTTTTAGTATGCCCCAGTGGCGGTCTGTATACGAAACTATAAACGAAAGAATACAATATAAAAGGAGTTCAACCACAAAATAAGGTTCAACGTTTATCGGTTTATGTTTACAATATTGAAGTGTATTTCCGGTCTGCGCTGATTGGTTATTATTAATTGACCTGTGACATCATAATCAAAGGGCGGCATGCAGTCATCATAGTCCTTGCAGGCTATCTTTCACCCAGAGAGCCTGCTCGCAGGCTAGTCCGTCTGTGAAGACGATTTTTGAGAGACGATTTGTTCGTCTAGACGACTTGTCCGTCTCTATAAATGTGAATAGGGCTATTGTATTAATTTTACATTTAGTTGACAACACTATAAATAGTGATGGGCACAGACGTATTTTTATTGACTAAACCGGCAGGCTCTAATTCAATTCAAAGAGCCTGTTTGCAGGCTACATACGTGAGGGATATAGCTTCCCAACAACGACACTCTTCTAATGAGTTATAGTTCGTTTTAAACTCGAGATATTGAGACTTGAGGTGGTCATATTGGTGTCCCGTCATTATTTGCTGGCAGATAGCAGAAGAAAGAGAAGCCACTACTAACCAATTTATTTCTAGGCAATATTTTTTGTTCCTACCTTTTGGTCCGGATATGTATAAATGATTTTCCAAGGTTTATAAATTTATAAATTTATTATTATTATCGTGATTAACTGGTCATTTTATTGATTTTAGTCGCGACTTGGTTGGACGAAGCTTTCTATCTCGTGAGTAGTGACATAGTGGAATCATTTCTTAGCAGGCGAGATAGTTTATTCTGCCATGTTTGGGAGAGTCAAGCCATCGGATATTGGATCAAGAATATATCAAATTTAACTACATTTGCGGATAATAAAAGACTTTTACATATTAAGCAAGAGGGATTCAGCTCAGAGAAGGACGTCGCTAACAGAAGAGAAATTTGCTATTCAGTTCTTGCCATTCATCAAAGTTATCCTGAAAAAATGAGAATGTTGTGGCGTACTTATGAGAAAGAGAACAAGCCGATAGCATACCAGGTGCCTTCAATTTCTTATAACTGTAAATATCCACTTGCGATGGATTACATGTTCTTCCGTAATGATAAATTCTGGTTTGCTGAACCGAAATTGTGCAAAGACAATCCAATATGGGACAGAAGTGGAGAATACAAAGGACGAAGAGGGTCTTGATCTGTTCCGTATCAATGATCCCCACTTTTAAGCATTTCGTTCTAAAAACGGTAACTAGAATTACTTCAAATACATGCATGCACAATGGGTTTCCATAGCCACTGCTGTATCGTATCATATCGTAAAAAATTATTTCATGACGCTAGCCTTTTCAACATAAGTTGCTTTTCATGAGGGGCGTCGTCAACTTATAAACAAAGTATTAATATTTACAAGAGAATTCGTAGAAACAAGAACTACTGCCTTTGCTGTCTATAAACCCTGCCAATAACCGTTATTATTATGTAGTATATGTAATTCCTGGCCGTTTAATAAAATTGGAATATTTATTTTCGAGATATTAGGACCGTTCCACAGACCTGCCAAGTCTCACGATTTAATCGTTTTTTATGCTTTCTCACGATCTCACGATTAAGTCCCAAAATCTCACGATTTTCGGAACTTATGAAATCATTGAAGAGCGCAACATCTAGTTACAATTAGGTACACTCTTCCAAGAAAACATCACACTTTATTAGTGTATTAATAATGCGCAATGTATACAACGCCAGAATTTTGTATGTGTGATGTTTGTGTTACAAAGTAAAAGGCGTGTCCTGCCGCTAAGTTTATTGTCCTGCTAGTCTTAATATTACTCGTAATTTTCTTGTTTTTGTACAGTGGAAGCTACTAAAGCCATAAAGAAAAAACAGCCTGTTCTTAACGGTTATATTTACGGTTATATTAACAAAATATAAATGCATAATATCATAAAATTGAATATCTATTGATTATTTTCTAGTGATAAAGTTAACCCTGGTCATATCAATGAGCAAACCTGAACATTTCTAAGTCTCACAATTTTTCAGTCAATCTCACGACTTTTTAGATAGCAACTCACTATTTCTGCTACTCAAGGTTTGGCAGGTCTGGTTCTATACGCCGTACTTCACATGTGCCGAATACATTAAAGATACTGATAATAAATAATGACTGAAATGCCTCATTACCTATCGTTTTTAATCTATTCGGAACATGTGTAGTACGGCGTATGAAACGGGCCTTAGCGAAAAAATTGGCCGTTATTGGTCTTATTGTCATATTTTAAGTTAGCTTTGCAGATAATCTAGTTAACAATCGCGTTTTGATTGATTGTTATTTTTGTGCATCCAAATCACTGTCCACTTTTTGTTGACTTCAGTAGCAGGCTCTATTTCAAGCATAGAGCCTGACACGCAGGCTAGCCTCTGTCCGGATTTGAAGATGTCGTATTTTCGGGAGGGGGGGGCGGATTTGAAGATGTCGTATTTTCGGGGGGGGATATACGTTTTTAAAATGAGGGTCATATTCGCACTGATGCTTCCTTCGATGTGATCACGAGTTTTAGGCTTCTAACCTGTGTTATTGGTGTGGCTTATTTCCTTCCAGTGAACATCACAGCGATGAAAATAGTGTTCAATCTAGAAGCCCCAACGTGGTATCATGAGTTGCATAATGTTCGTCAATATTACAAGGAGGCAACTGCGGAATGTACTTCATATTAAAAAGTTCTGAATCATAGCGTGTCTTAGAACCAGTTGTCGAATTTTTGCCTGTAGATAAACAGGATTAAAACATTTTAAAATGTTTGATTAGCAAAATTCTCAGATAAGTATTTAATATAAAATAATATTTTGTTCAACTCCATAAAGGTTTTATGCAATTTGTATTCAAACTCGCCGAATATTTTTTTTCTCTTTATTTTTCATTTTATAATAAGTAAACTTTCTGTTATGGTAATTTATGTGATAATAACTATACAATAGCTAATTAACTAGGCTAGTCTTCTAAGATTATTTTAGTTAGCTTATTACCCAACCATAGTATATTAACTATTATATATTAACTAATGTATATTATTTTTGTCGTTGGTAATAATAATAATAATAATAATAAAATAGGGCTGTAGCGAAGTGGCTAAAGCAGGGGGTGTGTAGTATCGCATTTGCCGACAACATTTCAGCTGCTAATTAATCTTTTTTTTCCAAAAATTATATACTTGAAATTCCAGATATCATTTTTCACAAACTTTCCAATTCATGTGCCGTTTTTCGGTAATATTTTCATAGATTTATCAATGAAAATTTTTGCTATAACTATAACTGCCTCTCAAATATTTTCGCTGACTACGAAAATGATTTGCCGATAAATCCGTTATTTTGCCGACAAGACCGTTTGCAGGTGGGTGTCACCCCCCCCCCTCCCCAATCCCCTATAACTCCGGCTCTGTAGATAAATACTAAACGTTGTTAGTATTTCAGTGTAACACATATGTATAACCGTCTTTTACATTGCACACACGTAAAACTCGAACGGTTTATCAACAAGATATCTATGCATGTGACAGTCTTGTAGCAAGCTTCATGCAGTTGTTATCATGTCAGGTCAGTTCCGTAATTGCATGTCACTTACTTATGGAGAAGTACTACCTCCAACGAATTGTTATAATTCTGCATGTTAACAAAAACTTGTAACAAGTCTGTTGAGTCCAATAACATTGTAGCAAATTGCTGACCGTGACAAAGGCAACAGCCATGAGGGTTTCAGCCATATTTGTCATAACATGTGAATAAACCCATTTTCTGTTTTATAGGTATTTCTAAGTTGTTCATTGTTAATGTTACATAACGGTACACCTTGGCGAGTGGGGCTACAGTTACATGTATGACAACTTCCATGTTAGGCAAATTCAGCCATCATACTGGGAGAATCAAATATGATGCACAAACTGTATTGAAATGAACCACATTAAATCATTTATAAATTGAAATATTGAGTATCGTCCACATCAACAGTCAGTATCTGGAATCGACTAGACAGTGGAGAAACGCTTACTGAAGAAAATTCTGTATTTTGGAATGAGTCTACCGGCACTTTGTGTTTGTCGAATGTGTAATCCGCATATCTTTGTGTTTGACGAATGTGTAATCCGCGTATGCATGGGAACCACAGTTTGGCTTATATTCTATGCTGACACAAAATTTGTATTAAATGGAGATCAGTGGCTCAATCTATTTATTTATTTATTTATTTAATGAATTTATTGAGCCATCTACATACGTACTATATCAGGTACAAAGATAAAAACTTGACAAACGAAAGACAAAACACACGTCACAAATCACAAATTAGTAGATACACTCAAACGGAAAAGCACAAACGGGACACTAAAAGTCCCATGCGAGGTGCTCCCCGTAATTAGTTTTGATATAGTTAATTAATTACAAACACACACATATATATTACTTGTGGTATTAAGTCCTATGGCAAGGACAGTCACGATTTAATGACCACGTACAAGCCATGTCTACGTCATAAACATTACTAATTAATGTATAGTATCTACGTTTAAGATAGTGTTTAAAAGAGTTTGGATTACGGAAAATGTCAGGTGAGATTTCTTGGCACACTGTGTTCCAAATCTTTACAACACGATTGTAGTATGAAGACTGGAAAGTATTAGTTTTACAGAGTTTACTTTGAAGGATATATCTTGACATATGGCTCAGTCTAGTACGACCATGGCCCACAAACGACACATAGTTATCGATATTGACGTCAATGTAACTAAACAATGATTTGAAAAAATACACCAAGTCTCTGACTTCTCGATCATAGGTTAACGGTAGCAGATCTAATGCTAATAACCGTTCTCTGTACGACAGTTCTCCTCGCTTTGTCAATCTGGAAAGCATCCACATCTCCCCCCCAGAGGAAATTGGAAATTAACCCCTACACCCATTGGATGTCTTTAGAGTTTACTATTATATATATTTACTCCCTCCTCACCCTCCGCACGATTAAATATCCTCCATAGAGAGAGTGTGGATCTTTTCTGGAACAACCAAATTACAAATATTAACAATTAAGAATAATGCCAATAATGCCATGTAAATAAATATTTTTATTCTAATATGAACCATATGAAAAAGTACAACATACTTTGGAAGTTAATGATAATTCACTGTATCGTAAAACTATGTTTAGGGAAAATTACATGCTTGGGAAATGCATGCTAATAATACTCATTCCAATTATCATTTCCCCATGCCAAACCTATGTATTTGCGAATTAGGGATCTTAATTTATGAGAAAACATTTAGGCTTGCTTTACACTATCAACTCTCTTTGAAACAAACTATGCATTGATGTGTGTGTGTCCAGTGTAAATGCAGCCAGATGATGATACGATGATATGAATTCGATAATATGCGAAAAACGAATGTACTCACTTGACGTAATAAAGTCTAATAATTTTTATTACTAATCCAGTAATTGGACTTATGGGATATAACTTTGACAACTTGTTATTGACCCCAAACACAATCTGTCAAGTTATGCCGGTAATATCCTTCCATGCACATGCATACACTTCCCCTCCGAATTTAGGTATGACTGGCAAGCTACGAATAGAAAGCACGAACGAGTCATCTGAATTAAGCATGGTTTGTATGCATGTACTATCATGCAGTTTTCTTTGAACAAAATTATGCAGTCACAACTGTGCGTACATTGCAAATACATGCTTATACATCGATCATAAAAATTATTCAGGCCATATTCATGGGCGAATATACTTGCCTTAGGTAAAGAAAAGTGTTTTCACTAAAACAGCATATACACTTGTAGATAGGAAATCCCTTGTTGTTAACGCTAAAAATAATCTGCCATGCTATTTTATGTCAGTAATATGCTTTGATGCACACACTTCCCCCAAGTTCTAGCCACTTCTAGTAAGATACTAATAAAAATTCCGACCAAACAGTGGAGCTATATCAAACAAAAGTCACATCACGCTCTAAGTTCCCACACCTCAACATACCACAACACATTGCAACAAAATAGTTTTTGTACTATGATGTACTATATCATACTTGCATTGCAAAACCAGATTAAAGAAAAAATCAGTGCAATTAGTAAATACATTCACCAATAACTTTCAATTCAGTGAGCACGCCTTGATGGACAGTGTAAATGATGGACAGTGTAAATCAAGAGACTCCATCAAAGATGGAAGGTATGCCCAGAGCCGTATATAGGGGGGGGGGG